CGGGGCCGGGGGTTCCCCCCTTTTTTTGGGAAAAGGGGGTTTTTCTAATTTGGAACCACCAAAACCCAAAACCCAAAACTTCTTCCCAAAAAAAACCCCCCCCCCCTCTCCCCTTTTTCCCCCCCCCCCCCCCCCCTGAACCAGTACCGTGGAGTGCTGCTGGACTCCCGCAAAATTCAAAAGGCTACCCAATTAGAATATTCCTTTCCATGGATCCATAGCAACCTTGTAATTTACTGGGATGGCCCATCTCTCCCTTTCGTCGGCTTGTCACTGGCCGGTGGGGCATCCAAGCCGAGAGTGATTATTCACATAGTCGTCACCACTTTCACCAGTCGGCCAACCAGCCAAAAACAAATCATAGATCGCGGATGCTAGTTTAGCCTTTAGGGCATAACAGAGCTCCGAGTGTCTGACGACATCGCCCCTCGGGTCAACATTCTTATATACGGTCTTCTCCTCACTCCAACTTAGATTGAGATGAATGTCCTTTTTGGAATTTCCTCTTTCTGACTTTCACCTCCCCCATGACTCCTTTCTCTCTCTCTCTCTCTCTCTCTATATATATATATATATATACTTCTTACTAACACTATAATATTCTGCTTGCCTCTTTTATTTAAGGTTTGCCTCATCTCGTTGTCCTTTTTAAAAAGCATCAATTATTATTATCAGAAAGGGCGCGCAAAGCCGCAACAACTTGTTCCACACCTTGTTGCACCAACCCTGGATGTTGATCTGTTTTTCTCTGGATAACTGTTGATTGTCGAAGCAATTGATATCGGTTGTTGCCACCATTGCGCCTGTCGTTTTCGGTCGTTAAATTCAGTCACTCGCTTTTTATCGCAAATCAATGTTTCGTAATCGGTACGTTACATAGTGTATCTGCATTCGATCACCAAGCGACTTTTCCCGTCGGGCGCAATTGCATGGTCATCTTTTGCTCAAACTCTCTGCCGTATACAGGAAAAACTCACAGAAGCCGGGCGAGGAGCTTTACTCCCACTTCAAACAGAAATTTCCCGAAATTTGTCAGGAACCTGCGCCAAAAGCGGCGCCAGTCGCTACTGACACCATCCTAGCCGATGCACATGTGAAACAAGCTGTACAGCATATGTAAAGCCTTATCTTTCTTTATACGCTAATCGCATGTTCCTGCCGCCTGTTGAGTTGCAAATATACTAGCCTCTTTTCCCAAGAGGTTATCTGGGGTTGATGTGAATGAAGTCGCCTACTGACCAAGAATCGCCTGTAAGTAGAGCAAACATGGATACCGACAAAAAACTAGTCACGGAACAAACGCCAAAAGGTCTCCCTGATCAATGGCGGTTTACTCCTTCCATCATGGATCCCAATTCATACGCCTTTACGTCGCTTGCAAATCAACCCTCCACCTATTATGCCGCGACACCAAACGGCATGGGCATGCCCTCCCATACCCAAGTTGCCGACTTATCTACTCCCGGTATGGCGCTTAATTTACTCACACCACTCGCGATCCCCCCCGGTACATCTGCCGGCGATGCTGCTGCAATACAGTCTACAATCGACATGAACTCATTTACCCATCCGTTTGCTCACCATGCGGGGAACGGCGTTGATAATTTCCACCAACAACATGCATATGCCCCAAGTACTTTCGTCAATCGAGATCCCAGATATGGCCCTGTAAATATTGAAAATTCACCTATCGATGGAATGAATGGGAATAATCATATGGTTTTGCTCAGTCACGGAGTTGACTTGATGGACAATCGCCCAGGCCCAAGGGGAGAGAAGTAAGTGCTTCCTTTTTTTATTTTAAGCATTGCTTTAGAAAGGCAAAATGCTTTAATTATTTCAAGCATTGTTTTAGAAAAGAAAAATGCTTACACTTCGTTTCAGCTTTCGGTTCAACGTTACTCTAAGGGCGGCAACGGCGATGGTTAAAGACCCCGATGAGGTCCCCACTACATACCTCAACAAGGGGCAGGCTTACACAATGACAATTTTGGATACCGCACCGTTGACGTCAGGCACACAACCGTTGAAATACCGCACCTTTATTCGAGTTTCGTTTGAGGACGATGAGCAGCGTTCAAGGCCGGCCGGTTGCTGGCAACTTTGGAAGGAAGGCCGTGGATCTAACGAAGCCCATCATCGCGATGGGAAACTTTTGGCAGTTGAACATGTCGATCCAAATCAAGGCGGAGACGGAGATATCAGACAATCTCAGGTTCATCTGGAAACCGCCAATTTTGACGGCTTCTCTGTTATTTGGTCACCTAGCCCAGCGACAGGGAATCCAAGTTGTTCGATATCCGTCCGCTTCAACTTCTTATCGACTGATTTCAGCCACTCCAAAGGCGTCAAAGGAATTCCAGTTCGATTGTGTGCGAAAACAGAAGTTGTTCCTACAAACCATGTAGACGCTCCCCTTGACCGCCCTGAGGTATGCTATTGCAAAGTGAAGCTGTTTCGAGACCACGGGGCCGAGCGAAAGCTCTCAAACGATATTGCACATGTCAAAAAAGGTATCGATAGGGTGAAACAACAAATCAGCCAGGCTGAGCTTGGAGCCGGCGCTGATAAGAAAAAACGCAGTGGCTCCTTCGCCAAGGGAAAAATTAACAAGCATAAGAGAACATGGTCGGGTGACTCGCACAATGAGTCGGGGAGATCTTCTCTAGAAGAAGATCTCCAGATGAAGCTGCGCAGCTTGAAAGATATGTTTTCGTCCACGCGACCTCTTAGCGTTCTCAATTTGAAAGGAGATCCGCAGGATGACCCCGATCTTTTCCCAGTGCAGCTTGGAATTAATGACGATAATTACTCTCACACAATAGGCTGGGAGTCTCGAAATAATACAGATGGATCTCCGATTGCATCCCAGAACATGTTATCACCCACAGCAAGCAGCCATTCGCTTTGCTCATCTCACAACTCCTTTGATCTCAAATCAAGCTACCCCCATCCATCATCGATCTGCGAAAATGGACGCCACGACTCAATGGATTGGTCCAGTGTTTCCCAGCATGACTCCGATAGCCAGCATCAAGGGAGGCATAGCCGTATCTTAAACCACCCTGTGAAGGTCGCAAAGGTTTCTTCCGGCAACCGTTCTGGCCTTGATAGCTGGATTGAAGCAATGGACGTCGACACCAGTTACCAGCCGCCATTGGCCGCCCCAAAAAAACCCAGTACGTAGCCTTCAACCCCCAAGTCCGCGCCCTTTATTGGTCTAACGTCTACTGGCAGCATCATGTTTTTACGTTCAAGTGCGACAATCCTGTGGGGGACCCATTTTGGATGGCTATTACCATGCTATCTACCTAACACAACGCACAGCCAAGGACCTTATACATGCCGTCTCGAAAAAGTGCAAAATAGATGTGTCACGCGTTGTTCGAGCTCTTTGTGTCCGCGGAAATGGACTCCATATTGTTTTGGATGACGATGTTGTTAGTGAGTTACCCGAAGGGCAGGATATGGTTGCTGAGGTTTTGGAGGTACGCGATTGCTCTCTTGACGCAAGCACGGATGGAGACTCATCAACATCATCGACAACCTCTGGAATTGAGGTGAAATTGATCTTTTGATGGTCTTATAGCTATTTTGTTAGCTGCGATCCTCTTTTCACTGGCTGGTTTTCGGAAGGGGGGGGGGGTTTCTCTTAATTTTTTTTCTTTGCGGATACCTTTTGCTTCCTATTTTAGTACCCCACTGTTCTGCTTGAATCTGTTCGGTGTTGGCGTACCTGGTTTCGTGTCAATGTCGCTTATACCCCTTGGGTCCGAGTCGGATCTCGATGAGGCAACTCTATTCCAATGAACCCCGGTGCTTCATTTTTTTGTGGCGCCGATGACTTATCTTGACCATGGGTTCTAAGTCCCCGGTGCAAACGAAGCTTTTATGTCTACGATCTAATGAGACCCCACGCCATTTTAATGAGAAGGAACGAAAGGAATTTCAGAAATGAGTGTGTTGGGAAGGACGAAAAGAAATTGTATAGAAGATTTATGAAGATTACGAATCTTCCTTCCATTCTTCTGGTTGGCTGTTTTTTATTTTTGCTTCCCATTCTGTTCCTTTCACTTTTGGCTGTGGCTGCTTTGTCTTGTCATATACGTTTTTGTCTCTCGGGCTTTTCAACCGTTGGTTCCCGTTTTCCCCGTTTCGCCTAACAATATCTTGTGTATTTCTTTTTCCTGTCATTACGATGTTAATACCCTCTATACCAGGACGGCTATTTGCGTTTTTCCATAGGAAACGTGCGTTCTGGTTGGCTTTTTCTTTTTCTTTTCTTTTCATTGGAAAATAGTGTTTCCTCTTCATTTTTTATTATTTATTCTTTTTAATCCTGGTTACATTTTTGATGACTTCGGATTTATTTAATTTGTACCTATTGCCTCTGAAATATGGGGGCTACATTAATATTTTGTGCTCGAAGGGACACATACAATCAATTTTGCTTCCCAGGTCTTTGCCATTTTACCTTTTCTTTTCTTTTCTTTTCTTTTCTTTTTTTGGATTTCATCTTTCGCCATTTGACTTCCTGATGTACGAGGGAATGGACTTTTTACTTTCTGTGCCTGTATTCTTTGGTGGGGAGTAGCTGAGCAATAGTAATGATGGGTGGAGGCTGTTCCCTTTCTGAAAACAAGCTGATTATTACACGTGGTTGTATGTATAACAGTGCCCTGTATTTTTGCCTCATTTAGTATATTCTTATCAAGCACATGTCTGCTGTATTTACGCATCTAGATGCTTGCCATGGTCATTTGTTAAAAACTGTTCCCCAGGGTTCCTGCCAGACGTTGCATGGCGATAACTGAAATGAAACACATCTCAATTAGCTCATTTGTTTCAGCCACATTCGATGTATCTGTCATGAATAATTATCCATTGCTCAACTGGGGTTTGAGGCTTTTATGCGGTGTTTGGTGTTGCAACATTATACATCCCTGTAGTGTGTATTCGTGCAGTGCATGCAATGATTTCCAGATATCATGATCGTCATCATCATTAGCATCGTGGCCCCACTGGTGACCCAGACCAACAGGATCGCCCGTAATGGATGTAAAGGAGTATGTATCTACTTCGTATCTGACCTGCTTCCGCATAAACATGTCTAGATGGAATATAGAGGCGTCATACATACATGCCCGAAAGCATCTAAGTAAAGTGGAGCCAAGCGCTAGTAGTTAGCTAGTCGGTCGATAAATCTATATTGTAGTCTAAGCCACCTCGTCACCATCTCATGTATTCTTATCGATAAGACAGTTTCTAGTATTGATATTGTATTATTACACGCTGCTGGAATTAACTCTGCGAATTGTTCACGCTTCGTGAAGTACATACATGTCTAGTACTTGTGTACATGGACCCATCTAGGTACATAGATGCGAGCTAATGCATGCAGGGGAAGTGTTATAGTGATTCATGCATACAGGGGGCACGGAAATTGTGGAGAAGTCAAGAAAAGGTGCTGGCATTAGTGAGTTGTTTGGGCTGAAGGATGATGTGTGTGCGTGTGGAACTGTACGATTATACGCTTTATGGCGGTTGGAATCGCGGCTTGATGTTTTCCAAAGGCGGGAAAGTCGTCGGGAAAAGAGGGATTTTTGCCAATACGCAGAGTTATTGGAGATGTTACTATTTCCTTCTTTTCGGGGGGTGGATTTTGCCGCTCTCGCATTGGCTGTTTTTTGTTAGTTTGAACGTTGTGGTATGACAAGGGATCTGATGATCATTGTTGACAGATATGTAGTTGAACTCATTTGGCTTTTTCCTGGGTTGCCTTTGGACGGGAGTCTATTTGTTTTTAATTTTAGATAGACTTTTCTTTTCTTTGCTTTTTTATAAAAGCAAAGATGGTTTATCTGAGTTTATCTAGATGAACCAATAAAAATTGAGTTTATGTGTAGAGGATGGTCCCGGAACTGAAATTGCCCAAAGAAGAATTTTAACTGGACATGAAGAAATAATTTACCCGCGGAAATGCTATTTCTTGATACCAAACATGGAATGGTATCAACAAGGACTAGCTGAATAAAGATTTATTGATTCTCTCATTTCTTTCAGAAGCGGCTGGAGGGGGAAAAGCGAAAAACTATTCATCACTCATCACTCGCCTTGTTTTCTTCCTTGGATGGTTGCTCTCATGGCTTGCTTCTCTTCCAGATGTTGTGTGATTGGGTACCCTGCAGATGCGGATATAAACCGCTGCAGAATTGAGCGACAGTGCGCATATTCAAGAGTCAAAATAAGTGAATGTAGACGGGTGGTTTAGAGATCTGACTATGTCCACTAGTTAAACTTTGGGGCTTGTAGTTTACCAGGATTAAACAATGAGAGCAATGGGCAGCAGTGAAATACATAATGGTATCTCCCGGAAGGAGTGCTCCGTAACATACTTTAGGTACCGAACTTTTTGCAGATGAAACAGAATGGGAGGCACGGAACCCCCTTTGTTGTAGTGAGAGTTAGGTTTTAAAATTCGGTGAATTGTTCGGGTGAAACAAAATAGAGTGTTTTTTGCCTCAACCCCACCGGCTCCATATCATCCTACGGAAACCAATGGATGCCCAGCATGTGGCGGATAGACGGAGTTGAGAGATGCATGCACCAACTTAGAACTGAATCCTCAATCGGAAAAGTGAAACAGTGGGGAGAACTGTGCCTGTTGAACCCAATTAGCTTAATCGCTTAAGTGGATGTTTCTGCACTTTGTCGTTAGCTAGGATGATAAAGTGCAAACTGTCAAGAGTGAAGGATTTGGTACGTGCATATCTCCGAAATAAAAATGTGGAACCACTCAACCGGCATCCTTCTTCCGTCACTTTGATCGTTAATTTTTGTGAGAGATGATATCATGATGACGATTGTGGCTGCTCGGTATAAGTCCCGAGATAAGATGAGCGACCATATCACGTGATATATTTCTTCTGAACATTCATTTGATGACGTCGATGGCCCTACAAGAAATACCGAATATCGAAGTCTGGGATCATAAGGCGTTCATTGCATAGTGAGAGCGGGGGGTGGCATACAGAAACTGAGAAATGAACTCAAAGATTCATTGACTAATTGACTGGATGTGTTGTAACTTCTGCCAACATGACTGAGATTCTAATGAGAGCTGTTGAACAAGGATACAGCGTCTGAGATTGAATAAATTCTCATCTCAATCTCCAAGAAGAGGAGGTTAGATATACACCGCTCAAAGGGCCAGAGCTATCTGAGGAATATATAGGAGAAACCTTTCATGTTGAATTCAACATGTGAAAGTGCTGATACTGGAAACGAGATATGAAAAAGAGAGAAATACATGAACTTGATAGATTCCTTTCAAAAACAGTGCTTTCGTACTATCTGATATCTTTATGCTCTAGAGATTTGCAACTATCCATCTGTGAAATCATCAAGTTTCTGTCTGATAATTTAGTTCTTACTGTTATTGACTGTGAATAGAAGTTATTCTATTAGCTCTATATTTTTTGTCATTGTCATGAAGAAAATTTACCTACTTGGTTTGATAAATAAGTTATGCTCCCCCATCAGCTTAGGCATTGAGGATTCTCTGCAGGGTTCAGCTATGTCTAACAGACTCACGGCCAATGTTCAGGACCGACTGCTTTTGCGGGGGAAAGAACTGCTTTTCTCAGTGTCCTTTTTGTCATGCCGGGCCTTCGCAAACCAGGATGGAAAGACGACTCTGCAGTCTACTAGAAATCCGAATCCGAGCAGGCTGAATATTACCTGGTGTAGCGCGATTGCCATCCATTAGCCCTCGTATTATAGTTGCCGCGCGTTTGATATGGTTCGAAAAGGCGGCATGTAAGTCAGCATACAAGGATCTCGCGCATTCCAAGAGCTAAAGGTGTAGGAACAAGCACGAAAATTAAAAAGACTTATTGGCTCATGAATAATCATCATTGTTAAGCAGGAGAACTGACTAGACAGCAGGAGGCTGTTCAACAATCCAATTCTTTTCTCGCAGCCACATAAAGATGATGATTTCCTGGAGCAGTTTGCAAAGTACAGGAATCGCCTGATTCCACCGCCCTTGAAAGCCTCATAGAGGCGGGGTTGTCTGGTGTTCCAACTCCCTCCTCAAGAATCCAGTCTGAAGCAACATCGCCTTGTGGAGTTAGGCAATTTAATCTCAAAGTGAATCCAAGGTTTCTGGGCAATCCCAATTGCAGCGCTGTTCGGCCATTATAGTTTGCAGGGATGCCCAGAGCCAATAAGGTCGCTGCCGAAAATTGAGAGCAGGTGGCTACCGGTGTCGTTGAGCATCGTGATATGTATGCAAGAAGACAGGTCAGGCTCTCCGGTTCGTGGTGAGAGCTGTCGACCAAACCGCAAAGACTAGAGTAAGTAGATTGGCATTGATGGCAGAGACACATATATCTGACCACCAAGCACGGCCAAATCCAAGATCCTGCAGAACAACAACAACAACCTCCCCATCTTGGATGGGCCTGTTGGGCCGCGGGCGCGTAATGATACTCCATGAAAACCACATGAGGAATGATTTCGTTAGCATGCACTTGACCTCTCCCCCCGAAAACCTAAAACGGGGTTGGAATGGAACGATGTCTTTTTGCGGGGCGTCTGTCTGTGTTCGGGGAATATTCGATTCGTCTATGCAGAGCGGTGTATATGGTGTTCTGAGGTCAAGAGCTCTTGCGTATTTAACCTCCAGTTGTTGGCTAGCTTGAATGCATCGGAATCTCGCCAGTTTATTTTCTGACTGGAGAGACCTACCTTTAAGCTTAGATTGTGGGGAGGCGGGGGGTGATTCTCTCATAGCTGTATTTTCAACCTCGGGTAATCGTATATATTCAGAAGATGCCCACGTAAAATCAAACGCTATCGAGACATGTAAGATCTCTCTGTAAGATTTAGCGAGGAAAAATATGTTGGGAATTGTTTTCTTTTATAGGAAATCGATAACGATTCCATATTGCCGCCCCCTTTTCCAACTTGAAATTCCACCACTCTGTTACAAGTTACAAGCTCCCTTGTAGCCAAGAAACTCCGCTAAGCCGATTCCGCGCGGGGCGGAAAACATCGTTGGTATGGCAGAACAGTCAAAACAGTTGCCTATGCCAAGACAGAGGCTCCGCTGTCAGAGCGGTGGAGCTCACAGTCCGGATATGTGACTATCCCAGGATGTTTTGTGAGCAGGTACATTCCCCTCTCCCCCTTCCTCATCCACCCTCCCCACCCATATTTCAGGGGATTCTCCTTTGGGCAGCAGCAACACAACATAACATCACAACACATTTGCTCAACATCGCAAAACATAGCAAGTCATAGCAACAGGAGGGTTGCCAGGCTCCTGCTACACTCTCCAACGCTCGCTTGTCACTAGCGCACAAATCAGGGGTATAAATTCTTGTCACACACCCTTATTTCTCTTTCTCTCTCTCTCTCTCTCTCTCTCTCTCTCTCTCTCTCTCTCTCTCTCTCTTCTTTTCTTTCTTTCTTTCTATCTTTTCTGCCCTCTCCATAGCACAATACCCGTCTTTCTACATTGTGTCGCCAGCCACATCCTTCATCAATCTACTCTTCAATTTCCATCTCACTCGTTACACACAGCCATCTCTGCCCCCTATCTTCTCCCCAAATCTTCGTCTTACAGACGTTGCTCAGATCACCCCAATCTCAACAGCATCAACAACATGTCTGCCAAATATATCGTCTATCTGGCCGTTCTGGTCTTCGCCACCATGGCATCTGCTACCAGTAAGTTCCTTTCATAGCCTGCTCCCCCTGACTAGAAACCAAACCCCCCCCCCCCTCCTATTCCTTTCCTCTTATCACCATCCCTAGGATGAGGCCGCAACGACAACAGCTGTGATGCCAAACGACGCATGACTGACCTTGGGCACCTTCCAGATATCCCCCGCGTTGCTAAGGAGGCTGGTAAGTTGCAACCAAAACATGCCAGAAGAAATGCACTGCCAATCTTTTTGCAACGCGTTTGGACGTGTTGGGGCCTTCTAACAGGTCTTCAGGGGCCGTCAACCACGCCCGTGGAATAGAGAACAACGACGTCTTTGCCAGCCTTGTCGCTCGCCAGGGTAAGTGCAACTCCTATCAGTGATTGATTTTCAGGGTTACCATCATCGTACCTTCCCATCCTTCTTCCTTTAGCTTGCCCCTTTCCCGACATAGCAGACAGCCATATACCCATCCGTTGACACCTCCCAGTAGAAACTGTTACTGTCACCGCTGTCTCTACCATTTGTGGCTGCGGACCTGCCCCTGTTCCTTCCACGCCCTCCAGTGTTTCCCAGATCCTGAGCACTGAGACACCACCTATTCCAGCCCCCGTTCCCGTGACTTCTTCCAGCATTATGACAACTCCCTGGACCACCCCCACTGTCTCTCCTCCAGCCTCCACTGTTGTTGGTACAGGGACCTCCTCTGTGGCCAAGAGCTCAAGCCTTATCTCCTCTGCTCCCAAGGTCACTCCTTCAACCTCTAGCACCATTCCCTCCGCCACCCCTACCCCTCCACCCTCAAACAACGATGCAATCCGCAACGGCGGCATAGGGATTGCAATTCTCGCTGGTGCAGTTGGTTTTGTTGCTCTCGTAGCAATGTAAACGTCTCCCATATAGCGTGACTGGACGAAATTCGGATGGTTTCGTCAAATCAAGGGATCACGAGCTGACTGTTTGCATGATTAACCAAACATACTGTTATCCCCCATCGCATGTATGCAATATGGCATCAAATGATTTTTCCTTGCTGTGTTATGGTGACGTTATGGCTGTGTCAACAACGCTTGGAATGTATGTTACTTGGCAGTTTGTGCGTTGCAGTTTTTTAATGGGATAGGAACGGTGGAGTATGTAGTTCAAAGGGAATAATCAAACAACATTCCAAGGTCCCTTAATAAACTTCAACAACCCTGTGAATTGGTTTCTATGCCTCAGAAAATTACCTACATGTAACATTCCTTGGTATTCCCTGGTTCCGCAACGCCCTAGATATGCTTCAGTTCTTCTCCCCCCCTGAAAACTAGCAGTCACATCGCTAAGAATAACGCATTCAAAAAACCTCCTCGATTCGTCCCTTGGTTGAGTTGTATTTGGTGCTGAGAGTATAGACAGTGGCTGACATGATACAAACCGAGCTGGATGACGCACTGGAGGCCTGGCCAGAGGGAAATCGGGGGAGATCACTCGTTTCGAAGAAACAGCCCAAACCATGAGGGTAAAAAAGCAGCAAGTAGTCAACATGAGTACTGCATTAGGCTGCATTAGTGTGGCTTTAGAGGGGTTGGGAGGGGTCCACTCTGCAGACTGGGGGAGTGGATGGGTTGGATTGGATTGCGTTTGGTTATATTAGCCGCAGAGCCTGTAATCGTCGTGCACATGCATGCTGGAGTCTACTCTCGGCCTGGGAACCCTTGATAGAAAAAGTTAAGGAGAACTGCGGTCAAGAAGCAAGAATTTCCCCCCTTGCCATATCTCCCAACAAGATTACTTGATCCTTTGTGAGTATTGCTACACATTTTATCAAATGCAATGGCATTAAGCAACAACATTAAAAGCTGAATCCAAGGGTGAGAGTTTACAACACCACAACGCCCTCCCGCGCCGCGTCCGCCGCTCTCCTCTTCAATGAGCAGATACCACATCCGTCTCCGACTTTATCACGTAGCAGCAATGCATTGGTTACCTTGGGACCGACGGTGCGAGAGAGCAAGGGTGACAATTGGGAGCTTGTGTAGTCATGCAGGAGTGAGCTTTGTGCGGGTGTCTGTTGTTGTGATGGGGTTTGTATGGGGGAGGTGGTTGGCTGTGGGGTATCTGTCGTTGAGGGATGTTGTGTGCGGGTTTCGTCTTGGTGGGGTAGGTGGGCGTGGGCGTGGTGGAGGTGGGAGACGTGGAAGATATGGCCGCAGGCGAAGCCGACGAGGGGTTCGGTTTCTGTTTGTTGTTAGCTAGGTATTAAGAAGGGACAAAGGGGGAAGAGGGAATTGCATCTTTATTGTATTCAGAGAGATAGGGGTCGAGATGAGCAGTGAGAAGACAAATGGAGGGACATACATACCGTGCTCGATGAATAGTTTGTGACATGCAGCACAACGACCTGGTTGTGGCCCTTCGGCTTCCACCATTTCCTGTTCATGGTGGCCTGGTTCATTGTTCAGCTGCACAATATCAAACTTGATACCCCGCCGCTGTCCCTTTCGTAATATGTCCATCCGCGTCGCTACTTCGCCTATCAAGACCTTCGCGACTCCCTGGCTAATGGAGGCCTGGATGTCATGTTCCCTGATCATCCTGGTAAGGCCTTCTCTAAGCCCTTCAATTTCCAGGCCACTTGGAATGCGGCGGACAAGGTTAATAGGGTCAATAGCAGTGCCTGCTTCGGCCAGCAGTCCACGGATATACTCAGGTTTATCCATCGAGAAGGATAACAGGTCCTCCCAGAGATCTGGGTCATCTTGAGACTTTGCGAACGAGATGGCATACGAGACGTCTTTGAGATCTGATAGGATGAGGTTGAGGGCGCGTTTTGTCTGGCCTGTTTTGGATAGGAGATATATGAGTTCTTGGGTATAATGGCGTGATTCACATATTGAGCTTGCAGCGCTGTATGAGTATGAAGTGCTCGATTGGAGGAACTCCATTAATAACGGGCGATCATACTCTGCGAACAACTCGACCACTATATCAGCGAGGCCATCAATTAAAGCTCGTCCTTCGTCGGTCGCAAGTTTCTCTGCTGCTTCCGTTCTCTGATGACGGAATCTAGCTGGCTTTGCTGTGACTGATGATGTAGCATTGCCTCGCCAAAGAGCACGTAGATAGAAGAAAAGGAAGAGCTGACGGTTTGCAGCCTGCAGCTGTGAGACAACAGCTTGTGGACCTACAATACCATTGGCTGCCTCTCGTACCAGAAGCTTGATGGGTTCTGTTGTGGCAGCATCTAGATCTTCTATGGAAGCAGATTTCAATTGTTCTTTCGAGACTCGTATGAGCACGAAACTTGGGATATCATCCGCAATTGCATCTAACAAATGATATTCACGAATTAATGCCATTGCAGTCTCATCATCCTGGAGACGAATGTAGCAACGGAGGGCCTCTCTGTAGCGACCTTCCGAAAGAAAAAGTTTCGCTAGGCTTTCTGTCAAAATCTGCCAATCAGCTGATTCAGGGACGATGGCTTTCGATTTCAGCTGATCTTCTATAGCAGCCGTGACGCTAGAGATTTCAAAGACATCCGTTGGCCATAACTCAAGCAGTTCCTTGAATCTGATTCGATCACGTGACAAGTAATGACCCAAGATAACTTCGTAAATTAAAGATGGGAGTGGAGGTCTGATGTCAATTGGGACGTAGTGTGTTATTTCGTCGAACTTGCTGTTGCGTGCGAAAATCCATATCCAATGTTCCCATCTAGCTGTGGTCCCAAGAACTTTCCCGCATACTTGTCCAGCTCTCTCCCATTTCTGTTGGTTAATAAGTTGCTCTAACCAACATTCCCCAATACGACGTTTTTCCTTGTCTACTTCAGTGTTTGATGCACGACCGATGCTCTGAACAGATGAATTGTCATCAGCAAAAAAATCAGCTAGTGTGCTCTGCAGCTGAGTCGGTGTAGAGGGGAAGCTATCTGTCCTTTCTGAGGAAGTAACTGCAGCTTCTGGGTACTGGTTAATGAGTTCCCATGCTTCCTCATACTTTCCATGGTTATTCAACCAAGTCAAACGATCTGCAATACCCCTTTTTACAGCGATGATACAGTCGTAAGGGCTATGGATGAATATCTTGACTGCTCTGGCAGCTGTAACAGCTAGTTCCTTCGCTTGTTTATCGCTGATTGATAAACCCGAAGAATTTACAGAACTGCCTCCACGAGTGCTTGAACCTTTATCTCCGCTACTCGCATTGCTCCGGACACTGGCGGCAGAGCTAAATAGGCGCGTAGGATGTAGGGTAGCATCCCAGAGTCCAGTGCCTATAGACTCGAGAGTGCCCTTCTGTGCTGCGGGTGGAGGTGCTCGATTGGGAGGAAGCACACCAAGATGGTAATCTGACGCGGAAAATGTTTGGTACTTTTTGACACAAAGGGTATCCGCGCTAAGCTCCTCTTTTGTTTCGACATCGATCAATCTGAGTTCAGGCTCGAGACCGTTTTGCCTATGACGAATTCCACGCCGAGAGCCCGCCTGCTTTACTGTGGATTCGCCGTTGTCTTCATCCGGGATTATGTATGAAAGAACAAGAAGCAAATTAGGGGTATAGAGCGAAACGCCGGAAATAATGCAGTCAGTACGTAGTCTACAGTCTCGTTAGCATGTTTCACAGTCCGCAAGGAACTTCAGGAATGTGGCTAACATTGTTGCGACTTCCACGGAACCGATCTTCCTTTCTCCAACACCCATACCCGAGCCCGATTCACCCGATGAAACATTGATAATCCAAACTGTGCCACCCCAACCCACAACAAGTTTTTCCATTGGTTTTTGATTCTTACCGTCCTTCAGGTGTGTGCTTCCATGGCTATCCTCAAAATCCATAGCATTCTCGTCCACCCACTCAGCCCGTGGTTTCCACACACTTGCCATTTCCTCCCATCCTGGCCGATTTGGGCGATCGATATGGCTCATACGTTTCCAGGCAGAGTGTGAGTCTAGGCTCTCAAGATGTAAATTGGTCCTCATTATTTTGATTCCCTCTTCGTTGACCCACATTACGTATTTTCCAGAAAGTGACCATTTTATGGTGCTTATGCAGCCTTCTCCACTATGCAACACAGTGTCCTTGCCATTATTTCCACCCAGGCCAAGGGAGCCAAGCCAGCTTGAGGGGTTGGCTGTAGTGCCGCCAATAACAGTCGAATTTGATTTCATCCCGATTTTACCCCCTGTTGTAAGAACCAGAGTTCCTGCAAGTCCTCCAGAAATGAATGTTTTGTCATGTTTGTATTCCGGAGACAGTGCTACGGCTTGAACAGGCCGTCCAAAATTGCGTAATAGGACGTCTTTTGGATCGAGTAGTGAAGAGACACAGACATTTCCGTCTATGGAGGAAGTGGCAATGTAGACTGAGTTCGAAGGAGTTGCTGGGACTGGCGGTGGATGCTGAGCTTTCGAAGGCTCTTTAATTTTCTGAGGAGATAGAGATTTAAAGCTATGGCTATCGCCGGAGGGCTTTACAAACGTATCTTGCCTTGATATAGGCATGGGATGTGAAAAGGGGCATATCGAGATGGAGGAGACAGTTGCGGAGTGCGCATGGTATACACGAAGGACCTGGAAAGAGGGTACGGAAAAAACATGCTATGGAAAATCAGCAAAAAAAAAAAAAAAAAAAAAAAGAAGTGATATTGGTCATCGAATATCGCATACAATGTTTCCGTTGTGCGTCCCAACGATCTATATAGAGGTCAGCAATATCCCTGTTATTGTGAGCTACAGATCAAATGATGAATAACGGACCATTTTGTCTCCCGCGGCAAGGAAAGTACTTGTAGCATCCCCATTTCGGTACACTGAGCCAATGCTTTTGGTCAATGAAGCATATTTAAGTCGGGGTTCTTCGTCCTCCTCATCCTCATCCTCATCCTCCTCTGATCCTTCGCTTCGGGGTTCATCGTCGTCCTTCGAATCGATCTCGGGAGGTGAGTTTGTTGATGGAATACGTTGCACCGGCAACTTCATGACTCCCCCATCGATCTGTGATTCCTTTGTGTCATCTACCTCCATACCGGGAGCTCTCTTTGACAGCACCAAGATACCATTTCCCAGTCAATGACGGAAGGTTTGGACTTAGTTAAACTGCCAGGCCAGATGACTAAGCACAGATTATCGGAAATTTGTATTTCCAGCTCAAATTGAGAAAAAAGTTCTTTTGTTCGCAAATGTTTCCTTACTTGGGTAATAGAGGAGGTATCCCGGGTCGAAAAGCCCGTCCTTTACGGACTGGTGAAAATTAACAATGCCTCAACCAATTCTCAATGACTGGATTCATATGATAACGTTGCTTTGAATGTGTCATTTGTTGCCATGTTTGCACGCCGTTTTGTATGTTCCGCCTGTAGGGCAACTCTCGAAAAAACAATCTTCTCACAGTATGAGCATACACTTCCCCCTTCACTACATTTTCGCATCTCCCCACATTGGAGGAAAAAGTTTTTCTCGTCTACAAAAGACCATTCGCCATCGGAGACGGAGTCAGTTTGGGAGGAGCTTGGCGTACGAGAGCCCAGAAAACAAAAACGAAAGCCATCCAGGTTACCCTCTGATAAAATATTATTACGGCGTGTGGCCGTTGAAGCACAGCGATCGAAAGAAGGGATGCGACAGATGACTCAGGCGCCGGTAGAAGACCCATCAAAGTTAAAGGGGGTACTCTTAGATTCGTGACCTTTTTTTTTTTTTTTTTTTCCAGTTGCTAATTTTGTCTGCAGACGGTGATTGCCTACGCTGTTGCTGAAACATTTGATCTCGCTAAAGTCGCACAAATACTTCTTGCTAAAGGATATAAGCTGGACCCGTTCAAAACAGACTTATATCCTCAGGTTGTCCACATGCAGGTACCGCTAGACTCACTTCACAAAACTACCAACCCATCCGTCTCTGATCTCCCGGCTGATGAAGTCGGCGATATTTTTATATTCCCTTCCGGCACATTTGTTGCATGGGGCCTTCCTGATAGCTTTACCTCATATCTGGCCACAACTGTACTGCTGCCAGCTGCAGAAAATCCACACGTTGATTCGATAGAAACTGAAGATCTTGACTATATTGAAGATCCCCTGAAGGAGAGCAGCTATATCAAGGGCGATACTATAACTATAGGCACAAAAATGAGCCCAGATAGCCACGATTTGCGAAATAATGATAAGGAAGACATGGCTAAAGTTTCAACTAAGATTGCCTTTTCGTCCGGACTAGCCCGGAGCACCAAATTAGCCGTTCTCGAAACATTGCTTTCAAATTATTTCGAGTCAACCCGCAACATCCCAACGCTTCTTTCTAGAGGCACTCGTCTCCCGTTTACTCGACGTTTCGTCCTACAAAAGACAGGACAGCTCCTTAGCGTCAGAGCCCAACTGAACCTCTATTCAGAGCTTACAGACTCCCTCCCCGATCTTTTCTGGGATAGTCGCTACGAACTTGGCCTGGAAGGTTACTATGACCAGGTTGGAAAGGCACTAGATGTAGGGATTCGTATCAAGGTGCTTAATGAAAAAATGGATTATGCCCAGGAGATTGCTAGTGTCCTTCGTGAACGGTTAAGCGAAACTCACGGACTAAGACTTGAGTGGATTATCATCGTGCTTATTGCAGTCGAAGTGGGATTTGAAGTCCTGAGATTGTGGAAGGAGAAGAAACAGCAAGAGCAAGAAACTAAAGGCGCTACAAAACTCCCTGTCGAGTGAATTGATATAAACAGCAAAACTCAAGAAACCGGAATCGCGAGTCACCAGCAGGGGGTTTAGAATTTGGGGTCTACTATTTAACTAAAAACATCGCGCCCATCATTTTCATTTGAGACATTTTACTTTTACATAATACTACACAGAACATGGTTAGCGGCATTAGACATATGAAATTGGTTAATGATCATATTTTGCGGATCGAATATGTTATAATGTATATATCTATCTATCTACGCTTCAAAACATTTTCTGAAGGCTAGTATTTATCGAGAATTATCAGAGATTTGAGGTTCGTGATTGGCTCCCTCCTGCTTTCTCGCCAGTGTTGCGATTCGATCCCACCACCAGCCCCAACTGAGTCGCAAGAGCAACTACATCCCCTTGCTCATCCATCACTACTACCTCAATATCTGTCCTGCCGTTACGGACAACTTTCGTTGTGATTCGACTGTACAGCCACTCCACTCCACCTTTTGGCAGCGGTTTCTTGAAATCGATGTGTAGCACAATGGTTGGGAACCAGAATGGCGGTTCACTTCCCATTTCCTTAGCCGTCATGATTTCTAAATTGCCCAATGCAACAGGAAAAATATCCACAAGATACGCCAAGGCTTCACCGGTCCATCTTCCCAAACCCCCTTTTGGCCCATTTGGTCGTAGTCTAGCCCACTGATCGGTGATAGCTCGTCGTTCGTCTAATCGAGGGTCTACTGGTTCCCAAAATTCCGAGTTGCTCGATGCGCGCCGGAATTCAGGGTAACACAAAATCGTTTTCTTCCAGGGACTGCCGGGAACGAGTTGCCCATTGTGGCCTGGTGAGAATTGTGGGGCCTTGGAGTCTGGCGGTGGCGGATATACTGTCCAACTACACGGCGCTGATACGCCGGCTTCTGACACTGGGTCCGAGATCGTCACGAACCCGGTGACTTTGTCAATTTTTCTACCCCGGGATCCCGTGGGGAATGATGAGTCCGCTTGACTCATCGTCACTTGTATCGTTGATATCCTTGCACCTAACTTTACATCACGTACTGTTAGGAAAGCTGGCCCCACAAGAGATCGCCGGAGGAAAGACAATTGCATATTGATTGGCCTTGGTTGGGAGGAGTGGTGAGTTGGATGGGCGTTCTGGAAATGGGTTATTGCTAGCCGGTATAGGATCGCGGTTATATAACCCCCATTTGCCGCTGTCGAAATTTGAGTTTAGCAGCAGTCAATTTGCTCAATTTTGCTTCGGGAAAGCCGTATGATATGTCTATCATCTGTTGATCCAATTTCTTTCGATAGGAGAAACATACCATTTCCAACAGCCCATTCCCTAGCGAGGTTAGCTGAGTAGGTATGAGAAGACACGGGTGTAATCTTGATCGCATCTTCGAATGCTTGCGTGTGGGCAGGGGGGTTCATCTTCGAATATTCTGTTTCCACTCCCCTTCTCTTGGTTTCTCAACCTTCAGAATACTTTTAATTTTTAATATGTGATATTTTGTTCCAGAAATTTTTCTAATGTCTCATGTGTCGTTCCACGGATGATATATTTATATCTTTTCAAATGGAGAGCTAAACGATTATCGGGCTCGTAGGCACGTCCGAAATGTTAGGCTCGGCATAAGTCCGCCGCACCAGGCGAAACTACCAGTTCCATCATTTGTCAAGCTGCATGCTGTGTGGGGCATGGTTCCGGCAAAGATATAGCAAGGTCATTGAAGTCGTTGCCTCAATGCCTCGGCTAACCACCAGCGCTTAGCCAATCGCTAGGCGGCAAGCCAACCAATAGATTACCTTGACTTCATCTTGCATGGTTATGATCCTCCCGACGAACCCTCCAGCAGGGGTACGGTGGTTTCGGTTTGTTGACTACTTGTGGAATAATGTATTCACTAGATAGCAGATACCACCTCGTCGTTTCGCGTCATTTTATGGATGGAGATGACTCATTCTTCAGCAGGTTCCATCCACTTTGATTGGCTCCAGCCTTGGAACCAATCGAGTTCCTGGTGGTCCATCATGCAGCTAATTCGCGGAAGCTGCCTGACCTTGCTAACTTCATCCGCCAAAGTCTTGAAGACATCTTCAATCAAATATCTGGTGCCCAGAGATAGTTAGTTATACACACATACAACATCGTGATGATGAAAGAGACATTCCGGAGTGCGTTTGACATAGTTTCACGTTTGCCAAATGTCAACCTTCCCTCTCCAAGAACAGTGCTGCAATTTGCGCTAGGAACCTCACAAATCCAGCTCTTGAATGACCAGCCAATCCGCCAAGAAGCAAAAGTAACAGAATTCCAGTCTTGTCCAAATCCACCGCAGCTCAGCTGCAGAGTTGATTTTACCTCGCAAGACAGGTGTTGCTTCAATTATCCTGGCGGCCAGCTATTGCTAACCCAGTTTTGGGACGCGGATCCTCCAACTGGCCCTGCAGAGGAATGGACAATCCATGGGCTTTGGTAAGCTTTCCGTTTAACTTCTATCTTCTAGGAAAAGCAATATTTGATTTAACACTTTATCGTCTTCCAGGCCAGATCATTGCGATGGGAGTTATGACCAGTTCTGTGATGCCAATCGCCGCTTTAATAATATATCATCAATCATCGGGGAGAGTGGCCGAGTCGAACTCTTGGACTTGATGAAAACGTACTGGAAGGATTTCCGTGGCGATGATGAGAATCTATGGGAGCATGAGTGGAATAAGCATGGGACTTGCGTTAGTACCCTGGAGCCCAAGTGCTACCCGGATTACGTGCCGCAGCAGGAGGTTGTGTCATATTTTCAGAAAACAGTTAATTTGTTTCTTGGATTGCCTTCTTACGATGTGAGTTCGTCGAGGGGGGATCCCTGAAGATGGCTTGAGATTAAGTTTGGGTTTCCCCTATTGACCTATATATATTATAACCACCTAGATCCTTTCTGCCGCTGGTATCCACCCATCAGATACGGAAACATATGAACTCGATGCTATTGAGAAAGCTTTAAAGACTGTACATGGCGTGGATGTAGTTGTCAGATGTCGAAATGGCGCACTCAATGAGTTATTTTACCATTACAACGTTGCTGGGCCGTTTGAGTCAGGCGAATTCGTCCCCGCAGCTCCAGGTTTGCTCATCTAGTTCCAAACCAGCATTCTAGAAAACCTTTCGTTTACTAATATGGTGTGAGCACCTGAAGTCGGAGGATCATCTAATTGTCCTCAACAAGGAATCCGCTACAAGCCCAAGAAATCCCCTAGCAGAACCATTCCCCAGCCAACTGGGGTGCCTCCAATTGGAATCCCGTTTGTTGGGAAGGGTAACTTGATGGTCAAATACTCGGGAAAACAACATGGCTGTATCATCAGTCGCGGTTATTGGTTTGTGTCAGGGACATGCGCAACGTTTCGCACGTTACTGGATTCCGAAGGTTCGTGTCCAAATCATTATATCCTTAATTTTGCATCATGTTGCTACTGGATATAGTTTCCAGTATCTAATCTATGACCCCATACAAACAGACTCCTTCTTTCTCGAATCAAGTAAGGGCCTTTGCGCCTTCAATGGTGATGATGGTTTCGTTTGTGATGCAGATGTAGATGAGCCAACGGCTTTCACGGTAAGTTCATTCTGTCCCTTTCTTTCCATGCCATATTTTTCCCAAAAATTTAATTTAATGACGTGGTTATTTTGTTAAACACATACTAAATCATTACATGAATTACTCCAGTCAATTGATGACAAACTATCTCTGAATGATAAAACCGTATTTTACGCCGACAGTGTCCCGAAACGACGAGTTCAGGGGTCTATATATGAATCACAAGGGCGACAGCGACACCTGCTACCTTTAGAGATATACTGGCGTGAGGTTTAGAATTTGAAGTTCTTCATACACTTTGATTTTTGTTGGTTTTACTACACGACTATGCTGCTTTGGTTTATTCTCAGGGTTTTCGGCGTGAATGAGGATATCACCGCAATCTCTAAACATATATACATACATTTTCCTTCTAGCAATAATATTCATTATTAGAGAGCAAGAAACATTTTCAATTCCAGAGACTCTGGAACTGATTTCTTAGCCCTCACTGATGAGGAGAGTATGATTTCCTAGTTGATTTGAACGTGAGAGGATAAACAATATACACTTTGAAGTTTAACTCTCATCAGCTACAATTTCCTTTTCTACAAGCATGACTGTAGATATAAACTTCGTCATTCTGTCCTCTTCGCTTCTTCTCAAGCCTCTCAAGCCTCTTCTCATCAAGCACTCTATTCCTGATCATCTTTCTCAGTCAGGCCCTTTGCTCTCCGCACAATTCATCTCTGAATCACTGTTTACTCAGTCACTTCCCTTCTCCCATCTTTCTTCCTGTAGAGATGCCCGTAATTACCTTGAGAGTCAGATCCGGGTTAAGTATTGAACACTTCACTGAATAAGTTTGATGCTGAGCTGGAGTATTTGAAGGTTGTGAAGATGAATGACATGAGCTGTTCCAATCCTATCAACCCAGGATGATGTTGAACCTTCTAGCCCAAGTGTTGCCGGCGCGATCCAAGGTAGGCACTCTTCATTCAAGTGAAGATCTTCTAGGTAACCTGCAGATCGAAGATGAGATGTATTCTCCAGATTCAGCTGCGCCAGACCTCAGGCCCTGCAGGGAAGCCTCAAGTGAGAAACCCTCCTGCTTCCAGCAGATTAAGGTGACTCTACAGTGGTATTCTGCCAAGCTGAAGGACCGCGCCCCACCAACTCGAAAGTTAAGGCCTCCAAAATGTAGATGCTGTTGAATGAGAATATACCCAAAGGTGCTACAGCTACAGATGTCAGTGAAGAAGGCCTTAAAAAGAGATCTTGATGCCCATGGGCGAGCACAGCAGGTGGTATTATCTATATGTCTATATGTAGACTGCTACAGCTGTACACGTCTACAGTTATCATTCAAAGACCAAATAGTGGAACCTAACGTTGCAACTGTATATACATGAAACTTGTTTGCTATTGTTTAATATATCTCAGACACAATAGATGAGTTCAGTGAAATGAACGATTAGAACTTAAAACCCATTTCTCTTTCACACTGGTTTGAATACTGGGGAGGAATATCTAGTGATAATTCCTGACAAAATTCTGGCATTGTGTGCCTTGCTGTTGTCAACATTGAAGGACATTATATTCAAATGTTATCAAATCACTTTGATGAAACCATCTGGCTTATATATATCTCATGCATTGGGTAAAGTCACTCATTACTAAACATAAAAGACGACACTGCTCATATCTGTTTTATCTTTCTGTGCCAATCTCTGATTAATTGCTCTGCTTGTTTTCCTTGCACTGCAATGCCTTCACTACCATAGTAGTTCCCAACACACGTGCCTTCGTTTTATTGGGAGCCCAAGTTGTCGGGGATTCTGCAAAGAGAGAGCCTTAGGTATTCCACACCTGACTAAATCCTCACACAATTTCCTCTGTGATGAGAAGTCGTCCACAGATATGGGTGCCGAACGCTTAACCCCTTCAATATTGCCTCTGGAAGTCTCACTGCCTATGCTGCATAGCTTTTTTGTATCTGCTGCCAATTCTGCCACTGTCTTGTACTCGCCGAACCAGCATCTTCTGATTATGGAGTCAATCATTGGCTCCTGGTTCAAATCTGGAAATATCATCATTTGTAGCAGATCCATGACAAGAGACCCATGCTCCTTACCAGAGGGATCATCGCCAAAACATTGATCACCATAAACCTCAAATCCATAGTTTATTAGATAGAATAATGAACCAAGTGCAAATTGCTCTGTTCGTGGGCCAAGTAGGCCTGCAGTTCCTTGGAAGGGTCCACCTTCACTACCAAGCAGTCGACCGTATGGAGCAATGCAAGTTTCGAATTGTGATCCAATGTGAGAGGTGCTGTCAAAATCTGAAAGCTTAAGGTGATTGCGATCAAGCAGAATATTCTCAGGTCTAAGATCACCATGCGCAAGGTTTAGAGACTCGAGAAAAGCGACGCCATGAGAAAGATCACTCATCCATGACTTTCGCAGGTGGAGTGGCTCAAATTTTTCCACGCTAATAACCCGCATTGTTTCATGGTCCCGGATGTGATTTTGTTGAATTCGCCAGGAAAGGCAGATATCTCTCATATATTCAAGAAAGATACAATCGTTGGTGTGCAAGAAGCAGGATATCACATAGGGACATGGTGGATGATGTGAGAGAATGTCGAAGATCTCAACCTCTTTGCGGAACTGTTCTCTCTCTTGGTCCCCAGCTTTCGGTACCTTTACGACAATGAGAGGATTCACCTCGTACACGTAGCAGTTGGCTCCCTCGCTGACCCAGAACAAATCATCCAGCTGGCACTCGAGGCTCATAGCACTGGTAATGCCCGAAATTGCCGAAAATGTGGTTCCAAATTGACGAAAGGTGGAGGTAGCCGGAGTAGCCGGATGTCAAGTTGACGACAGATTTTGCAGAACAAATTCTACGAGGTTGGGAATTTTGAAACTGAAGTTAGTTAACTAACTTAGTTAACGTAACTAGCAAGCGAGTGGAACAGACAAGCAAACGGACCACTTTTTTTGACTTGAGTCAAGATCAGATGCCTTCAAGCTTCAACTATCAAGAAAATAAGATTAATTATATTATGAATTATTTCTTGTACACCTAGAGCATGCACAGGCAGTATGTTCAGTAATCTCACATATACTACACTGTGGTGCTTCCTGCTTTTGTGGTTGAGACTCAGTAGTCTCATCGATTTATAAATATTATTTATTAAGCTAAAGATTCTTCTTCAATAGAGATCAGTTTTTGATAGATTGATTGAGAATTTATATGTAAGAATTGATCATGTAGTCAATTGACAAGAGTAGAGTGAGAAACATTACGAATCTTTGCAGCGGCTCAGATGCTGTTGATTTATCTGTTTTATATGCTCTGTTAGCTAGAAGAAGTTTTCCTTCTTTATTTGAAGTTTGATTCTTCATGATAATTGAGAAATTCATATTTGAATGTTGGTAATTTGCTGAGAGAGAAAACGGGATCGGCTCAGTGATGTGGCCAACTCAGAGATCACTTATGTTAACTAGTTAACAAGTAAACTACAGAGTTAGTTAAGTTTGCTCCAATAACCGAAACGAGCTGTCCAGAATAAGCAAGTCGGCCACTTTGCACCATACATTAGTTTAGTATGAGAAAATCCCTAAGACATGCAAGACAAACACACTTAACAAGTGGCTAAGTTCGTGCGATACGTCAACACCAAACTTCGTCGCTTTAAGTATACCTCACCATTACGTGACGCCTTCATCAACACACTTCCATAATGGAAAGAAAAATTCCATATTAGCAGTTGAAGCAAAAATTAACCAATTTCAAGCAATTGAGCTGCAGCAAAGCTGTACGATATTCCTCATTCCCACTCTGACAGGTACGCGGTCGTACGGCATCGGTCGATATTCAAAATAGTGCGACAACAATACACCTCCAGAAACAACACAACCAGTTCAAGTTTATGCCTTCTGCCACTGTCCCTCTACTTTCACCCAAGCTTTCCGAACAATGCAGTCAGGGCAAGGATTCCTTTTAGTCGTCTGGCCCAAGTAGAATTTTTTGAAAACCGTCCCACAACTGCCGCAATCCAGGTATTCAATGACGTCTCCAGGTGAGTCGACTACATGCTGGCATTCATGGACAATTTTTGTCAAAAGACGTTGGCACATATTGTTTTCTATCCAAACTGTTAGAGCCAAAATGAACAAAATAGTTCTTAACTAATTCTTAGATCGCGGCGGATTCTGACCTTGCAAGTGACTAACTCGTTGAAGTTCCGTGTGGTTTAAATTGGGGTTTTTATATTATTTATTTCTCTGGGCGATTATGATGTTGTCCTCGGCATCAAAATGTCATCGAGCAGATACCAATGGATATTTAAAGTTGCTGGAGGCGCGGTTTCTCTGTCAACCGGTGTAAAGCTCTCAGGCTGCAATTCAAATAAGATTTCACCAACTGACAAATCCCTGCGGAGCTTCCACCTCCAAGCTGAAAGTGATGAGGTGCCTCTCAGTCACAGTGCATATGAGTGACGTACGCTATTGGTTTAATGAGCAAAAACGAAAGGGTTCTCCGAGTCATATATCCCCCTCTCTGCAGGTCTGCTCCCTGCAGAGAAACTTCTCGGGGTGAAGAAGAGGGTCACTCATTATTAGGTCTCAATCTGGCACCATAGATTTGGAAACGCTGACTGGTGCAACTTCAAGCAATTCGGCTGAATGGTTCTGGCGCTGCTGTTATATATACCTGTTGACTAGGTTAGTAGCCTCTCTTCTTTGTTTTGTTGATGAGGTTGGCAAGCAGTGCCCTCTCTATCTTAGGCATTAACTTTGACAAGCACATGCCCAAGACTGGAATGTTTGTCCAATAGCCTTTGCACCAAGACACTGTGATTTACATTGGGCCGCACTTACATGACAATATCAGAGCATTCTTCCGTTAGGCATCACTGTATGAACAGTTTATCCTTGTAGATTTTAGCTGGCTTCTGCATGCACACCTAAAATGGTAAAAGTAAGCGGCGGATCTAAAACGACTGCTTGAAATGCGAAGCTAAGGAGGTAACAGAGTCCGAACTTCAGAGGGGCTGCCGATGAAGCGCTATGACAGACGGCCAATCCAAGGAGCAGCATATCAAACTTCCTTTTTTTGGCTTACACTTGGCGAGCGCCTCAGGTAACTATGCGACAGAAGATGAGTTTTCATTCATAAAAATAATCGAGTATGTTTAGATAGCCAAATTCATAACACAAAGATGACTTTAGAGTAGCAGTAATTAGAAGAATATAGTACCTTGATATCTTGGAGACCTGCGTGGTGGGTGACATTCCATAACTTGTTGCGTCTGTCCTGTTTATCTTACACGTAGCCTCTCAACTAGAGCTCAACATCCTCACCAGATGAAATAAGAAGAGCCTGAGCTTCTTCTCTGATTAGGCCTCCTTCACATTAAAATCTGCCCCTAGATCTCTTGCATTTTTACTTCTCTTTCTCATTTGCCGCAGATATGTCCTGATATCACTTCTTCATAATGGTGACACTGACCATCCCATATTTACCGGCCTTGATAATTTGATCAAACCCCTCCAACAAACACAAACACTTCAAGATATATCACGTGACACATCACAACCAAAGAGGCCGCACAGCGTTCATTATATTACCAGAGGAACTGAGCCCAGCTCTCTGTTGATTCACACTCCTTCAACTTTATAGAGAACTCCTCACCATTTCCTATCTCCATAATGGCTCATCATCTTGATAAACCTGAGTGTCAAACGCTGATTTTCATAATAAAAAGCCAGATAAAAGTAATATAATATTCAAATCATCTCTGCTATATTTAAGACTAATTTCATATAAGAAGCAAGTTAAGTGAGTTAAGTACAGATGACTAGAAATAACAATTGAAATTCTACCACAGCGTGTGCCTAACGAGTAAAAAGTACCCTTTATTTATATATATACTTCTTCAATTGTATGATAAAATGACATGATACTGATTAATTGAAGTTATTGCAAAAATCTTTCATTTATACTATAATCATAAACTGAATTTGAAATCAAGTTATAAATAGTATTGAAGATTAAATATATCATATTTTAAAATAATTTTAATTGTTAAAAAGTTTAATTATTAATTACTTTTTAATTAAAAAATAAAAAAAAAAATTATAAAAAAATAAATTAATAATATTATATATAATTATAATATTTTTTTAATTTTATTACTTTTTTTATAAAATAGAAATAATTTTTTATAATATTATTACTTTATTATATTTTATAATATTATAATAATAATAATTATATTTTTATATTTTTATTTAATATAATTATAAAGATTATTTATAATAAATTAATATTTAAATAATATTATCTTTAATAATTAAAATTATACTAGATTTAAATTATTTACTTAATATAAAATATTCTTCTCTAATTTTAATTTTTATAAAATTTTATATTTATCTACTTTTTTAATTTTTATTTTATTTATTTTTTTTCTTCTAATGAATTTACTTTATTATAAAAAATGTTAAAGCTGTATTAAGTAGTATATTTATTATATAACTTTTATAAAGTTATATTATTAACTTTTTATAAATAATAACACTTATATTTTTTATTTTTATTATTAAAAATAAATTTAATAAAAAAAAGTTAACTAAAAAATAATATTTTTAAATTATAAAATATTATATTTATTAATTTTTTTTTAAATTTTAATAGATTTTTATTTATAAATTTTAATCTAGTAAAATTATAATTTATAATTTTTTCAGAGTTATTTTAATAATATATATATATATATATATATATATTATTTTTTTACTCTATAATTTTATTAAATTCTTTAAAATCTTATAGAATAAAATAGAAAAAAAATTATTTTATTTATTATAAAGTATTAAAGTATTATTATAAATTTATTTTTAAAAACTTAATAAAAATAAAAAAATATTTTTAATAATATATTTTTTTTATATTTTCAATATATAATAAAATAATCTTTATTTATTTTTTTTATTTATTTATATTTTTTAATTTTTTTATAATATTTTTTAAATATTATAATAGTTTTTATAAATTCTCTAATATTAAGTATTTTTTCTTTTAAAAAAATATTAAATTTTATTAAAATAAATATTTTTATTAATAATAATATTTAATTTTTATTAAAAATTTTATAAATAGATATATATAGTTATAATATGTTATTTTTTATTTTTTAATATGATAAATATTTTTTATTATCTTTTTATAAATTTTATTTAATTTTATTTAATTTTTATTATTATCTTTTATAGTAAATAAATTATTGAATATAGTTTTAATATTTCTTTATAATAAAAAAATAAATTTATTAGAAAAAAAAACTAATAAAATAAATAAATTTAAAATTTTATAAAAATTAAATTAAAAGAAGAATATTTTAATTTTAAAAATTATAACTTTAAAGATCAGAACTTAGAAATCAGAGTTTAAAGATTAGAGTAGAAGATGAATATTTTAAATTTAATAAATACTTTTATCACAAAATTAAATATTGTAAAAAGTAATATTTCAAAGAAGTGCAACTATATAATAAAAGAGTACTACTTGAAGAAAAGATTCACATAATAATATATCAACAGCACTTAAAAAGAAAAGTTGAAAATGCAAGAAGTGCTTTGATATCTAATATAATATTTATCAAAGCTTTATACACTTCAATACAGATTACAAGACTAAAAAGAATAAGTTCTTTAAAGATAAATTCTCAACTTCAAATTTTTATTAAAACTCTCTTTCAAATCAAATTTTAAAGAGATAAAAA